GCCAAATCTTAACACTCTCTCAAACAAAGGGCGTGCCATGTACCTGGCCAACCCCAGCGCGTGGCTCTCGTAAAAAATGGTCAAGTAAACATTTGTTTTGGCTCCTAGCTGAGGGAGTGAAAGCTGCTCTTTTCTCTCAATTGTCTTCGCGACTGCCATATCATTACGTGGAAAAAAAACTTGCTGCATTTACTTAACGTGCAAAAATCGTGGAAACGCACCCAGTGGCGTACCAACTTGTTTTTGAGTGGGGGGGGGCAAACCCGACCCTCTTCCCCCCCCCCCCCCCTTAATCGAAAATTCGGCGCAACTTTTGTCGAAGTTTTCTAAAGATGTGGCAATGATTCGGCAAAATTACAACGTTACCAGACTTAACATTGATATTTTGTTTTTTCTCACGAAAAAAATTTTGCTTCTTCTTCTTAAAATAAATACAACTTGTAGTGCCTATTGAAACAGTTATGATTAAATAAGGTGATATTCTACAAGATAATTGTATCGATGTCGCTTTTGTGTGTTTACTGGCAATTTTAGTGTTTGCTTGCAGAAAGTGGCGTGACAACGAGGTTGGGTAGTAGCCGGAGCAGTCACGAATCACACTACGAGAGTTTTGATTTTGAGGCTTCATCAGCGCACGCCTGCAAGTGTGTTTACATTGTTAAAATAAAGACAATCACTGCGTTCTTACTTTCTCTGGGAGTCACCGTTTCGTGCGCGAAAACGGATGCAACGGTTGTTTAGACTTCACCAGAAGAGATAACAATACTGTAAATATGCATGTTTTTCGATTTGAGTCACTTGACGTCAGCTTTGCATGAAAGTGCGCGTTCCATATTCGCAACGTGCCGTTTTTAACCTTTAAAATTCCGGTTTCTGGTGTTAGGACACACACGGACGTTTAGGAAGATGGGGAGAGTTAGGAATGTCGGATGTGCAACGTCGAGCATGATAGTTCTGTGTTTAACGAATACTTTTCATCAGTGTTTACTAACGAGTGCTTGGACTTCGTCCCCACTCTCCCTGAAGAGCTTTACGAGCGCATGCATCCTATTAACGTTAACTCCGCTGGTATTAAAACATTGATTGATAAACTAAAACTTACTTCGTCCGCTGGAACCGATAACATCAACCCTAAAATTTCAAAGAAACACCCGTGTTATTTCTAGTGAGTATTTGAAACTCATCTTCATTCAATCCTCATCTCAAAGCTGCCTTCCATCTGACCAAAAGGTGGGAAGGGTAATTCCCAGTCTTTAAACAGGGCAGCCGCTCTTCCGCATCTAATTATCGCCCTAATTCATTGACTTCAATTTCTTGCAAACTACTTGAGCATATCCTCTACTCCAATATCATGAGGCACCTATCATCCCATTTCTTTTCTTTAAACAGCAGCACGGTTTTCAAAAGGTACTTTCCTGCGAAACGCAACTCTGCGACTTCATCCATGACTTGCACACTAACCTTGAATGTCACGTCCAAACTGACACAGTTTTTTTTTTTGTTTTTTTTTTTCCAAAGCGTTCGGCCGTGTCTTCCATCAACGCCTTCTTTCTAAGCTATCATCTTTTTGCCTCGACCAATAACCGTTTGCATGGATTCGTGACTTTCTTTTTTCCCGTGTACAGGTCACGTCCATGATGATCATGAATCTTCCTTAATAAATGTATCTCCTGGTGTTCCCATGGGGTTCGTACTTGGGCCCTTACTCTTTTTAATATTTATTAATGACATTCCCATTGTGATTTCTTCAAAAAAACGCTTTTTCGCCGACGACTGCGTCATCCATAACAAAGTAACTTGTGTGCAAAAGCTTCAGGAAGATCTAGATAAAATTAACAATTGGTGCAAAGAGTGGATTATGTCACCAAAGAAGTATAAACGCAAACTAATCCACTCCACCAAGAAAAAAACCACTCTGTCATTTAATTACTTCTTGGACTCCGATCTCATTGAGACCGCTACTGTGTATAAATACCTTGGTGTAAGACTAACATCTGACCTTCCCTGGAATAACCACATTGAAGTCATTACCGCCGATTCATCTGGAACTCTTGGACTAAGCAGACGTAACTTAAAAAATCGCTCCACCCTTTGTCCCTAAGCTAACCTTTAACACGTACGTCAGACCAAAAATAGAATATGCTTCAACCATCTGGAATACCCATCGACTGTACCTCATCAATACGCTGTAGAGGCAGTTCAGAACAGAGCTGCTCGCTTCATTTCATCCACTTATGACTTTTCTTTCAGTGTCTCGGCGCTAAAAACTGAACTAACCATGTCCTCTTTGCAGCTTCGCAGGAAAGTCTCTCAGCTGTGCCTTATTCACAAAATCTACTACCACATTCCCGACCTCAAAACCACTTTGTTATTACCCCTCGACCGAACATCTTCTCGCCTCAACAACGTCTGCACCATCAAACACACTTCTGGCTCTACGAACGCTTTCAATTGGTCATTCCTTTCTCAAGCTGCAGCCACTGGAACAGTCCCCCATCCTCCATTGTCACCATCTTGGACCCTGCTGATTTCTCCTCTGCAGTAAAACTACACCTTTCTTGGCCCATGTGATGGTGTGCGGGGCTAGGCAGATCAGTGAAAACACTTACGCAGAGCGCTTGCCAGGCCAGACTTGTACGTAGTTCAACTACTTTACTCAAGTTACTGTAGTTTAACTACTTTTCTGGGTAGTTTAGTAACTTTTAATTACATTTCTATTCTAGTAATCAGTAGTTTACTTTAACTACTTTTCCGATTGACTTCCACTCAAATTACAAATTACTTTCTAATTTTAGTGGTTGTTTTGCCTATCAACAGAGAACAGAGGTCGGAAGGTCAGCTGATATTTGCAGAGGGGGAAGCATGCGGAGTAGAAAAGGGGGGGATGGGAAGGAAGAAAGTGATTTAGATAGTCCAAAAAACCCCAAAATTTTAACGAGCCCCCCCCCACTGCAACAACACTGCTACGAGGCGCGGGGAGCGAACAGACACGACGCAAGAGAGGTCGAGTAACTGTGGGATTAGCTCCGAATAGTGGCGTTTCTTTGTATTCCGAAGCTCAAGGAGACTTGACGCATTTGAAGAACGGGCTTGTCCCCGCTTCTCTCCAATGTAGGAATTCTTGCCCACTACAGGAGGTGCACACACTGCTCCTTTTACGGTGCAGGCGATAGAACCCCTAACAACGACGCTCACGCCGGATGGGCTGCTCGTGTATCACTCGAAGCGCGTTAACCCACCCCCGCGCCTGCGTTCACGCCGCTTCGCGGTGACGGTGTGCGGCTGCTAATTACAAATCTATTAACCCACCTAGCCCCCCCACCCCCCGTACACGCCGCTTTGCGGCGTCCGGTCGGCAACCCAAGCCCCGCTGCCCCCCATGCACTTCCGTAAATAGAGTAGATACGATTTAGTTTAGCGATGTTTCGTCAACAACATTCGTTTTTTTAGTGTTAATGGTAAAAAAGAAATGTAAATATCGCCAAATGCCTCGACAAAACAAAATGTTCGAGAAAAAAAATAAAAAGAAGTAAGCCGGCCCACACCATAAATAGAACCCGAATCTGACACGTATGAGGCAGACATCTCACCACTAAGTTACGCTACCTCTTCGGAAACTCGCATTGCATCCGCTGCCTATATGTTGACGGCGGCAGCGCCTATCTCCAAGCAAGCAAGCAAAACTTTATTTTGTGTAAGGGCCTACGTCCTGGTCTGGACGGCCCGTCCGGCCCATGTCTCGCGGATGGATTCCGTAAGGTTACCGTGTAGCCTTGTTCGTGGAGCAAGGCTTTACGAACCAGCCAATCCGGCGTGCGTGAGCACCGTTGCTAGGGTTTGCATCGCCTGCGCGTTAAAAATATGCCCGCGCGGGTCGGGGGGCAGTGCCCTTGGTATTCCTTGGGCGCCGCCGGCCTGTGTCTGCTCTGCCCAGTGGCGGCCGTTTCAGGGGGGGCAAAACGCATGCCTTGCCCCCCCACTCTGAGAACTGGGGGGGCAAGTGCCCCCCTTGCCCCCCCGGTTGGTACGCCCATGAACGCACCTCTATTGAGCGATGAAAATGAGAAAGACGTGGGCAAGTTTGTGAACTAACTTTCTCTTAAACCGGCGAGCTTACAAAACGAAATAATAGGGATACCCACATAAAACGTCCCAATTGAGACGTTGTGTGTGATTGGTCGTATGTGCTTGGCATAGTCTCAGATTTATTATAGATTGATGAAGCGGTCTTTTAAACTTTTTTTGGAAGAGAAAGATAGGTTTCATAAAATGAAGACGAATATATTGTTTATTAATTCACGTCACCCTTTTCAATGTCATCATTATTCACTACAGAGAGTATCCTACCACGTGAAAGAATTGTGGTAGCTGCGGGTAATTGAGTTGTGAACCAACAGAATGTTCTGTTGGTGGGAATGAATATATGTCGGTCTAATTCTAAGTAAGCGCTTGCAAGGACTGTTTTGTTTATGTTGCCATGGCATCCAAACTGGTTGTAGTTACGCCATGGGCTATGCGGAGACGCACGGACGTACGAGCACATTTCTTGGGTGTAGGAGGCTTCGTTTAAAGCATTGTGTGCTTGAATAATGATATAAAAATGCCAAGGCTTTCACAAACGTAACTGTGGGCATTACGTCATTTTCAGGGCGTTCGTTTTCGATTGCGTTAGAAAAGGGCAGTCATTTTTTGCTCGCATGTGGTAGCAAACTTTTTGTTTTATTTTTTATTTAAGGGCTCTTTTTTAAGTTCATTTCTCGCAATGAATAATTGACAGAATAATGAAAAACTTTTCGACGCAACCGTTTCTTCACTAAAATATCACTTGCGAAGCCGTCGAGAAGTTCCACTCTCGGCTCAGTGCCGACATTTTATTGTAACATCACGCGCACAGCAAAAGGCAGTGTCGTCGAATGCTGAAAACATAAAATGTTATTGAAATGTCAGATCCATCTGACGCTCTTTATAATGCCCGATATAAACCTGCTAAAAGGTGGGATTCATTTTATGCTCACAGAGCTAGCAGTTATGAACGCAACATTTTGCTTCGTTTCAGTATGCCTCTTGCTTACAGGGAATGCTATGGCTAATCCAGAAATTAGAATTGATGATGCTCCGGAATATGAAAAGTGGCAAGACATCAACGGGGTATGTTTATATTGTCGCTTATGATACGCAATTATAAATCCAAGAAACCTGAACTCTGAAGCCGGATACTGAAAATGACATCAAACGATATGCCACGCTCATCTCCAAAGTTTTATCGAGTATAATTTAAATGTTCGAGGTATGTTTAAACAGTGAAAGGACTGATTGGGAACAATACATTTCTGTTAAATACCGTAGATTCCAGCGCTTTACGATGACCCTGAGATGTTTTTTTTTTTTTTAAATTTAGGTAGAACTTTTATTTTTAGGAAATTTTACGGTTAGGTACCTAGAATACACAGGCTAATGAAAATCTGGGGTAGGGTTTTTCTTTTTCTTTTTTTCATGTTAGTAAATTTTTAATGCACAGATGCAAGTCCTGTTTTTCAAGTAGACAATTATTGCAACAAAATTATTTTTCAGCAGATATAGATTCCTTTACAAAACACAAACTGCATAGTTTGAATGAAGCAGGCACTAATTGAGAAAACTTTGGAAACTCACTCTTATATCTATAGAAACGTTTATTTCGCATAGTTTTATGAGCTTTATTTTTTATAATTTTTAGCTATAACATTTCCTTGAGAGTTTGTATACTTGTTCTGTATTTTATATTCATTAGCGATTTAGTATTGCGTGTATTGTGTATTATATCTTTATTACATTTACTATTGATTTCATACACGTATCTTCAATTTTATCGTAATGGCCAAATTATTTTTGTGGTTAGTTACTGATGCGTGGCAGAAAACAATCCAGGGACAGGGGTAATGACGAAGAAAAATTAGCATTATACTTTCAGAGAAAATATAGCGGGTGTCTACCACTTCAACTTTTTAATCGCACAAATAAAAATAGTTTGATAATATTGAATTAATCCGAATATGCGAGTTTTCGCACGTTCAAGCTATTTTTTTTCTAAAATATGAATTACAAAGAAGGCTTGTTGATACGAGCGAGTAGAGATGAAGAGGTTGCTCTTTGAAAGAATAACTCAAACACGTCAACTATATTAGCTACTTCTACTAGGCAATACCCCCTGCTTAAATAATTCAACCTTTACGAAGACTTCTCACGCTTGTTTTGGTGAACACTAAAGTTTCTAAGTTAACATTATATTATAAGTGAGCCAAACTCTTTATAACGCCATGTGACATTTTTGTTAGTGTTAAAAAACAACAAAAGGAAAATGTGTGTGCGTCATATGAGTCGTGCCAGCCAGTCTCAACAAACTTTCAGCTTGATCCTCACTTTGTCCTATCATCACTGCACTTGTGTCCAGTGAATATAGTGGATAAAGAAAAGTAAATATATATGAATGCAGTTTGAAGTCTTAAATGTAAAGTCTGTCAAGAATTCAATTAAGTAGAGCAGTGAATTCGGGATTGGTTCTTGCAAATAATTTCTGAGACGGGTGGACCCTCACAATCTAACATGCCTACACCCTATTTCGAGTAGAAAAAGAAAACTATTTCGGGGTGTTTACTTGTACATAAAAAAATCATTGTTTAGGCTTACGTCTAGTAAACATCATAGCGTGTGGTTTCAAAGGGGGGAATATGGAAATTTATATATCTCAATTTACACAGCTGCTTGTGCTATTTATCCTGCCCATAGAAGGCGTTACGCTCGCAGCTTAGGTTAGAAACTGACTGCTTTCACAAATGTCTTGTACCATTGCCAAGTGAAAAGATTCTGTTCCTTAAACTAAATAATCAAACTTCAAACAGGTTGCATGTTACCTTGTTACGTGTTTGTTTGTACCATGCGAAACACTGAGAATTTCCGGAAAATGAGAAGTGTACGCTCAATCATCCGCAACAATGTTTCGTTTTATCCCAAATTTTTTAAAGGCTCTCTCAAATAGCGATTCACTGTCATGGATGTACGTTCGCACATACCAACCAGAGCCTGGTGATCCAGAATACGCGTGTGTGTACGCCAAGGTTTCTCGCCTTCCACAAAAGGGACAATACATCTTCCAGCAAGGATGGACGCAGCCAGACAATACTACGTAAGTCTGTGGGAAATTAATCTGTTTCGCAAAATAACCCCAGACGTTATTATTACTAATTTCAGAATTGAAGTCCCGCTGTTTGTGAATACAACTAAAACCCCAGGCGATGGTTATACACGAAAAAAGGACAATGCTATGCATATCACTCTGAATATACGTAAGTTTCTAATAATCATGAAACTCTTAAAGAAACGCACGGCATGACTTGTGATGTTCAGGCTTCTTCCTTTGTGCATCTTGTTCTTTGGCATTCCTATGAGTCAATGCGCCTTTTCATTGGCTACGAAGCGATACTAAAAAGAGATGGACTCGAAACGCCCTGGGTTTCTTAAGTTTTCAGGAGTCATAAAAGTACTGACACATTTTATTTTTCTACTGCGGAGCAATAATTTCATATGAAAAAAATTTCCCTCTCTTAAATCAAGTCTAAAATTCGCTTTCCATCAAGAACTCGGAGATTGGTTATTTAAATTGGTTATTGAGTCTAAAAATAGATGGATAAAAAAGATGGGGGGGGGGCGGGAAAATCTGACATAAATTCACAACCTCGCTATTTTACCTCTCTTTCAACGCGCTCAAGATAACCATGTGCTTCAACGCTACGAGTGTGCTTGAGGTGTAAAAACGAGTATCTGGTAGGAAGGTGTCATGTTGAACGTTTTAATTTCTTAATTAAAATTAGTCTTTTTGTTAAACTCGGTTTTTGACTCACCAGTCGCGCACTTTTTAAGCACTTAAAATTAAATAAATTGTCATTTGGATTATTTATTTCCTACGCATAAAGTGAATCCTTTTAATAGAATGTGCTAAGTGAATTAAAAAACATGCAACTTATATATTATCTTTGTTAGTTTGTTTTTCTTCAAAAAATACTTTACGCATATCTACCCTTCAGTGCTTGAATGAACCTTCTAGGATTTGTGTTTTATTGAATAGCGGGGAAGAAAATATATACAAATATCAAAGTTGTTGGATGGATCGGAAAAAATTATAAACTTGTCTCTAAGTGACTTACTAGTTTCGTGCGTTGTCCTTCATACTCTATGACTAAAATATGTTTAATGCCATTGTTTATGATAGATGTTGTCATTTAATAAATCCATTTTTGTGCTTTCTAGTGCCACAAAATTATATACTAGATATCACTCGCTTGACAGCTGTAACTCTATTGAAGTAACAAAACTATATGTGATTGTGTTCGTCAGAATAATATTTTACTGTGCATACGTGGCTCAAATTAAATTATTTCATACTTGTAAACTTTCTGTTGTTATCAATTTATGAGAAGCATGGGATGTACGAAAATTACCTTTTAATGGGGTATTAGTAATTTACTTAGGATTGCGTAATTAACAATTCAACTTTTTCAGCTCAGCTAAAGCTTTACAAGGACTTTGGAATATACAAACTCATATACTCTGACAACGAAAAGTGCGATATACTAAGAGTGACGTCGAAGCAGCAGGGTGAGAACAAACCTACAATTTATAGAGATATTGTTTGAAATTTCAAAAAGACTGCAAGATTGTTTCAAGGGTACTGAAAGTATTTATAATACACGTTCTGAATAAATACGATATTTCCTACTTCATGGTTAATAAAAAAGCCGATCGTCCTTATCGAGTTCACCTTAATGAGATCCTTATCAAGGGTGCCTCATATTATTTCTTGGCAAAGTGCGGAATATTTATGCAAGCAATACTAGCGCCTAGGTGATTGCACAACACATATCATATCATGGCTATATGCAGAAAGACTAAGATATAGATGGCTATTTAAAAAGTCGCCGTAAGTAAGTTTATCAAAGTACCGAGCTACGATTTCGCACAGAATTTAGGCAAATAATGTGGATTAACGGTATAAACATTACACTGAACAAACTTACGTAAGTACAGGGTGTGACAAAAAACAATTTACAGTATTTTTTTTATCGCGAAAATTAACTAGGCATCGCCGAACGCTCCTTCTCCGCCCAAAGGTAGTGCTAGATGTCACAAACAGATTCCAAAGTTTCAGCCCGATCCGATACCTTAGTCAGAAGTTATAAGTGATTTTCTGAAAAGTTCAATGGGAAAATGGCGGTCGACAAAATGTTCGAATACATGGGGCTCTATAGCACCAGAAACCAAGAACGGGCAAATATAACCTCCATTGTCCCATTGACATTTTCAGAAAATCACCTATAACTTTTGAATAAGGCGTCCAATCGGGATGAAACTTTGGCATCTGGTTGTGATCTCTAGCGCTACCTTTGGGCGGAGAATGAGCGTTCGGCGATGCCTAGTTTCTTTTTTCGGTGAAAAGACACACTTCCAATTTTTTGTGGCACCCTGTAAATATCTACATATCAAGAACTTGATATCCCTAGATGCAGCGTCAGTCTGCTGATGCTGACGAGAGGCGTCTGATTGGTGCAATAGCCGACAAAAGTCGCCAGTGCTCTCCGCATCGACAGGTAAAGGTCGGTGGTGAAGGCACTTAGTACCCCATGTTTCAGCGTCAGGTTCGGCGATGAGATCACGTTTGTCAGTGGCTTGTTTTGGAGGTTTCCCTCCTCGATAAGGCGCCTCACCCAGCGTAGAATGGTAAGTGAGCACGGAAGTGGCCGCGCGAGCTAGGCCGAAAACGTTTGGCAAACCTCTTTCGTCTTCAAGCACTCCCCGCACCAGAGAGCAACCTTCACTTGCTCATTCAAAGCAAAGCGCATCATGAAGATGATTACACCCCAAAACAGAACAAATGAATGTTCAGACAAAAATGAGACCCGGTAACAAGCAGAGCAAGCAGACGACGACATGTAGCCTTAAATATTTGTCAAAAAAACCGACGCAAAACATCTTTTCTTGCTTTTATTCGTTTTAATTTTATTCTTTTATGTTTATTGGTAGAATAAAGTCATCCACTAATAATTCGCGGAAAAAAACAAAAAAAAAACATCACTTTTGGTTCAGAAACTGTCTGCTATTGCCGAGGCCGAGTTAAGTGCCCCTTCATGACCGCCCGTAGAAAGTCTGTATTACCGCTCATTCACACTGGAAGCGGATCCGAGTTCGCAAAGTGGTTGCGAACGCGGTTGTATAAATATCCAGTACAATTGCACGCGCACTCGATGTCATCGAGGTTTCCAAGTGCTCGATCGGGGTCACGTGATTCATGGGCTACATTTGCAATGCGAGCTGCAAGGAGGTGGCAAAAGCGCTGCTTGTCTGCAAACGTCTCCGCCTTTCCGCCTGCTTTCTTCCTCGCCACGCGAAAACGCTGTGCATACGCACTTGCAACCGATGGCCGCAAGAGGTGTCCGCCATGGAATTGTAAACGTACCCCAATAGTTTAAGATGGACCCTTTCTTCAATCTTGGCTCTCGAACCACCCGCAATCTTATTTACCGCCTTGTGTCGGCTGTTGCGCCAAACAGACGCCTTTCGTCAGCCAGATGGAGGCCGTAAATAGAAATTTCTAGTTTTTTTTTATCGATATTTTTACAAGGTAGGTTTCGCAGTAAAATTTGCATTGTCTTAATGCACGTTCTTTGGCCACATGTATACCAAATTTTAGCTCAAGATGTTCGCAAAACAATTTTATGCCGTACCTTTAAACACACATTGATCCATTTGATTGTCGCTATGAAATGACAAATTAAACACTAAATTAAACCAAATCAGTTTATTTTCCCCACGTACAACTACCGATGAAGGAGTTGTGGAAAAATATCTGCAGCATTACAGTTTGACTTACTCAAAAAAGTATCAGGAGGATATTATAATTCTGCGCATAGGCTAACAACGTTTGGCCTCGTTCGGAGTATTAGCGGACGATTTCCTATAACCGCTGTGCTATACTCAAACAGCAAATCTACATTAGACCAAAGTATGACATCCTCCCTTCGAAGCATAAACTAGGAGTCAAACCCACCGGGTTATTATCTCAACCAAACTATTAACAATAAAACTATCAAATTCGCTAGCAATACTCAAATACATTATCAGACGTAGTGCCCCTACACTGACGGATCATTTCAGCTGTATTACGTAAACAATGGCCACCTCGCGTTTTCAGAGCCCCATTGCAGGCAATCTTAAAAATCACTGGAGATTCCCAGTGTTTAGTTTAAACGGGCGTTGCAACGATGATCATTTTGATTTTTTTTTTCACTTTACACGACCTTATTGGCACTAGTGGGTCTCAAAGAGTCCCGCACGAAGCGCCACTGGCCACGAAACTTCTTTGTTGCAGTGTCATTTCAAGGGCAAAAGCCGAGCGTTTTCCTTCAATCTCTTCCTCGCGAAACTTAATGACGTAGCTGAGGGATCGCAGTATCCTCCAGTGACGATATTTGGATGCAGCTCATAGATTGGATCCGAGCGTTGCGAGGGCACTCGGTTTGGGCTCGTCATGATCGATAGCACGAGAAGCATTCGTGTAGTGGCCTGTGCCCAATTGCTGCATGCTGCAATGACAGCAATAGCCGAATCCTAACAATGTCTAAAACTCAGCGCGTGTCCTGTGCTTTTCTAACCCTACGCTGCCATATAGAGTGGCTCTAGCTAACCCCACCGCGTGGCTATGATGAACGCTGGCGGCATATAATCTGCTCCAGATAACTTAGCCGCTTGTTCTTGTTGCGAGTTCAGGGGGTGAACGCTGCTCGTTTTTATTTTTTCTGCAACTTTGATTGCGTGTAGCGAAAAACGAACGCGTGTTTCACAGGTCAATAACGTCAGGGATCCGTTCTAAGTGTTATTTGCGCAAATGCCAAAAATCGTTGCATCGACCCTTCGATTCCTGCGCCATACGTATATAGCGCCATTTGTGTCTAAAGTGTTTTTCACTGATATATATGTGTGAAATCTTTGTGTATGAGTAACATCTCACGTTTGTATTAGCTCAATTATGGTGCGTTTTGTTAGACTAAAAAAATGTGAAAGTCGCACTTTAAATATTAGTATTTAATGAGTAAACACGCACAACTTCACGGCACCGTGCGGGGCGGGCAAACAGGCACAAGTGTAGCTAAAGAATTAGGAGTTTATTATGTAAGAGTAATAAATAAAGTGTTCATCATTTTAACCATACCATTTAATTTAACGACAACAATAATATTCAGTTATAATTTTATTAAAAAAAATATTTATACCTTGGTAATAAGGAAATAAATCATTCGTTGTGTCACACGCTAACATTATGCCTTCAGCTTTGCTGAAATGCAATTCACATGAAGAAATAACAACTGACTTTATTCGTTTTCGACAGTGGGGAAGGTTAGGGGTAAACGCGCTTGAATGGTCATCTATACACAGTGAAAGAACATAATTGCACAACGAAATTGTATTAGTGGAGAGAGAAGAAAGCTCGCGCACTCAACCAATAACGAACGCCTGGTAAAACTGGGTAATCGCAACACCTCCTAAGTGCCGTAGTGCTAATGGAGATATCACCAGGGAAGACCAACACTGGTCACAGATTGGACACGACGATTGCCTCAACGTTCGGCTCAAACTTGACTAGAAGCCGAGAGCTGGCGCAGAAGACCCGCGTGGTTGTTTTTGGGCATATTAAATAAACAAATTATTATTTTTATTATTATTCCTTTTCAGTCTAGGTTCAGTGTTGGCCTTCACTGGTGCCGCAAAAGTGTCAGAACTACGGCCTTGTCCTCTAGGCGGTGCTGGCAGTTATCGTAGTGCGAGGGCCGCCATTTTCACTGGCTAAACACTATAAATGATCAGTGCACCGAATTTGTCCGGTTGCTGTATGCATGCAAGTTTTAGGAAGCGGTGCATATACGCAGCGCCTAAGGCGAGTGACAGATAACAGCTCAGTTTTTAGTTGGGCCAAAAACATGTCCAAAAATAAAACCCGTTATATATTTTATAGGTTACGCTTGTGAGATGTATCTGCACAGCAGTGCACTGAAGACAGGTGTCCCTCCGGGATGCAAAAGCATCTACAGACACGCCTGCGGAAGAGGAGACCGTTACCATCTTCGAGTGTATCATCCGACCTGCACAATGCACACAAAAATCAAAGATAACACCACTGTCCCTTACAGAACGAAATAAAACTGATAAAGATTGCTTCTGAATGAGTTATCACTGCCGTTAATTCCTCTACGTAATTGATACTTTAATAATGCAAATAATTTTTTTTCTGCTGTAACTTTAACAAGTATCCTCGATTGGTTTTTCGGCCTTTGCACACCATAACGGCTGTAGCAGAACCTGAATGTGATGTCTTCTTACAGCTACATGTTTCGGTCATCAGGTGTTCTATTTTATTTTCTGCCTGAAATGAACAGCAGTGAATATACATTGACGTCTGAAAATAATCTTTTGTGCAAAGGCTCGCAGCTCTTCACAAAGACGAAAAAAAATCTTTAGTCACACTCAGATTTCGGTAGTATTTTCTGGTTTGTTTTAATTGTAAATAAATACCCTTTTGTTTAGTGACTGTATAAATAAAAAAAGTAAATACAATTTTTAAACTATCTAAAGTATATGCAAAGATAGAGTTAGTTTCGCGAAACAGTCGCCCCATTTTTTAACACAACAGTGAGTTCGACCATCTGCGGAGGTAGGGCCCCACATTAGACGCGACAAAATAAAACAAGAACTCAAAAATTATTATTTTTTCGTTGGAGCCAAGTGTCGGCGCAGATGGCAGATATTTTTCTACCTTTGTCTTTCCTTTTTCATTGAAGAAAGAGCAAGTTTGTCCCTTTCGTCCGTTGTCTCCGGGTTTTGCGAATATGAATTCTTTTTCATCGCACGAAAGAGCGAATTCGGCATTTTTTTTCAACCGTTTTGTTTGTGGCTCTCTATAAGAAGTATTCACTGAGCGCCATATTTGTTGGTGCTGTCTAGAGCGCATGCTCAGAACGAGCCACATTATTAGGTTAATTGTTAAGACCGGCACTCTTGATGGTGTGGAATTAACGTTGCAAAATAACCGTGGAAGCTCGCCGTCAGCACACACTCAGCAGTCGTGCACACAACTATGGCTACCAGTGAATACTTCCTATACTCTGTTTCACCTTATGATGTACCGCAGGAAAGGCTACAAGCGCGAGCTCCTTGCTCTGGGGCACCGTGCTCTGGGGCACGTCGCGGCGGCACAAGCTCTCGTGACTTAAGAGCAGCTGCCAACGCTATGAGCTCGCGCTTCTAACCTTCGCTGCCGTACAGCATAAGGTGAAACGAAGTAGAGCCATGTCTTCACCCTTTCCGGCATCTTTGAACACTCCTACCTCTTCAGCCAAGCGGCAGAGCCACCTCGCTGAAACACGCGACGCGTAGACAGCTGACAATGAACTGTTTATCGCAGAACTAGAGCCTCTGTCGTCGGTGCCGCAGCAGTCGCCGCGATAGCTTTCTTTGCGAAAGCGAGTCGCCACCAGTAGACACTGTCTGACCGGGGCCTCAGACGATGTTTGTACTGCTCGACTTTCCTTCCCTAGGGGCCACGAGCCAGTGATCAACAGTAGAGTTTCTTTGTTCCGCGTTGAACAAAAAAGCAATTATAAAGAAAAGTGGAACGCGTTCCGAGGCGACTTGGTGTTGTTCTTGTTTTTCAGTTTTCGTAGCATGAGCTACACCCGTCGAGGTTGAGCAGTTTCGCATGGCTTCTGGAGGGCGGTGCTGCGCATGCTTGAGGAGCAGGGGCGTCACACGGAGCACCGCTGGCGCGCCGGAGCCGCAGCCGCCGCGCGCTCCGCCACCGCCACGCGCGCCTCGCCGGTCTGCGCATTCCAGAGGAGTGACGTCATAGCCGCGGCAGATGCACTGGCCCCGCCTCGTGACCAGCTGTGTGCCTCCGTTGTGCAGTAGCCAAGTCTGACGCTGCACCGGAGCCGCTCGGTAGCGCCTCTCATTTTTTTTTTCATTTTTTCACTTTATTCAGTTCCAAATTGTTTAGCCTCCTTTCCCCTTTCTATTATTGTAATGGACCCGTCTGTTCATCAGTATCTCCCTCTCTTGTCAGCAGAGAAAGGGGAATAGGGAGTTTTTACGAGAAAGAAGAAAAGAGAGGAGAACGTCAAAAGAACGAGGGAAACTAGCTGGATGTTAATTAACCGTTATTGCTAAAATGAGAGGGTGTCATAAGTTAGAAACGGCTGCTGTAACCCTGGTTCGGCTATTAACTGCACTTTGACTTTTGTCGAATTCAGTGATGATAACTTCACTGCTCGCTGCAAAAACTGCAAAAAAAGGATACGCAGCCCGGTAGGTCCTCTTACTACAAACTTCGCAAGTACCTCGAGTGAGTCTCGACTTCAATTTCTGAACACTAGCGCTTGGCATGCGGACGGAACGATATAAGGATGAGACCTCGACAGCGTTCTCCAACCTCAACAACCTTCCCACTACTGAAAAAGCTTCTTTTTTTTTTATGACGGATAATTGCATTGCTTTTGAGCGCATCCGTTGAGCGCCTCTTTAGCAAGGATATGTTTAGAATCAAAAGGGTGAAGTTATCTTTGAAAAGGAGTTGCTACTGCGGTTTAACATCAACTGAATAATTTACTATTTAGTCCACCTTGTATCGAAGCCGCAAACGCTTTGATTCAATGACGTCGTGCTACGGCAATGATGGGTACCTCAAAACATGAAATGACAGTTTTTTAGAGTCCTAAGCTTTTTAGAGTCCTAAATCGTACCAATTGTATGTTGTCACAAATGTCCCCATCGCTAAATTTGAAAAGAAGTATCTTTAAAGTAATTAAGTTGCTATGACAAAGTAACCGTAATGTGTTACTTTTATATTTAAATAACTGTAACTTTAACTTAAATACATTTTGACAACTTATCTGTAACTAATTAATTTTTTTTTTTTAAACTAACTTACCCAAGACTGGTCACACTGTCGTGTGTGTGCCGGAAGTGATTCATTTTCCGGCTGTTGAAGAAAGCGTACGTGGAATCATCAGCTCCGCGTGTGACCTTTACAGTACTAATCAAATTACTTTTAACGGCTACCTTTTTGAGTAATTGTACAACCTAATCAGAAGTGTTATTTTATTACTTTTGAAAGTAATAAAACTACTTGTAACCGTTACTACTTTAGCCCCCCCCCCCCCCCCCCCCCCCCCACCTTCCCCTTTTGCGGTGTCAGAGTTTATGACTAGTTAGTCACCATCCTTCGAGCTTCGATCATTAGATGTCTATCTTTAGTTTTACATTTGTTCACCATTTTCCATTTGTGACATCCTGGTGGATTTGCTAGGTAACGTTCACCTATGTTCAACGTTCCATGAAGACGACGGAATAATATTCTGAGGAGAACGAACAAAAGTGGGCCAAGACGAGAAAAGTGACCGATGATGACCAACGACCGCCACGAGCCACGTACAATTATGGTGAGCATTAACAAATGAAGGGGAACCACGAGGACGAACCGCTGCTATTAGCCTATAGCAGAGAACCTATGACGACTAAACTATGACGACGAACCTGCGACGACAAACCTATGACGACAAACCTACGACGGGAAACATAGGGCAACAAACCTACTCCTGCCGCGTCCCCCCTCCCCTCCCCTCCCGCCTCCCTTTTTATACGCATATATCTAAAGACCTTTTCGCCTCAGTACTTACCTGACCGGTGGACAGAGGGCGCTGACATACGTGGCGCCAAAATGCACCTTCAATTTCGTTGGTTTTGATTTCAGCGGCTCGAGGGTGTCTTTTGGTGTGTTGTGTCGCGTTCGCTTTGTTTTGTGTTACAAATGTACCTTTTGTGGCGCAGAACCAATCATACAGTGGTAATGGGCCACCTTGATGAACACGACGAAGTTACGAGCCCAACTTCTGGACGTTCTCAGAAACAATCGTAACTGATCATGTTCTTTATTCGGCCAGGTTCAGAGGTGAAACGACTGAAGTGATGCCATGGGAGGATTACGGACGTCGAATGCCGTACTGGGCGAAGCCGCTGATACTAGTTTCCATAAAAATAAACTCATCAAGAGATTAATGTTTAAAGGCACAGTGAAAAATCAGGTTAACGACCTGATTAACTATGTGCTGAATCGCAGAGAACAGATAAACTCGCATGTCTAGCGCTCGCCGTTTGGTTTTTGAGGGCACCATTGTTTGTGTGCAGGGTCATCTGAGAGAAACGCTCTCAGATGACCTCCTCAGACGTTAGTTTGCTGTAGTGTTGGTCGATGTCCTTCTGACGAGACTTATAAGCTTCTAAGCTCTACGCATTCGAGGGTGCCAGGTAAATCCTGCGAATACTCGATTTCAGCGCTCCCCAAACATTGTATCACAATAAACTTCTCTAAATTTTATCAAGTATTTTACTCTAAGTGCCTCGTAGAGAGTGTTAGTTTCTTGACACCATCGGGAAACGGAAACTAGAGAAATAACTGTAGAGGAAAGAACACCGTAACTTTCGAACGTGTGCCGTTGACGTATAGGTACCCGTCTTAGCTTCCATTAGCATGCAAAAGGTTGGACTAATTTTTAAGCCACTATAGATGGTACTGAACTTCTGAAAGGGTCTGTTAGAGTTATATTAAAAAGAGTTGAATTAGCACTTCTTAAGGAATACCTCTAGTTCCTTAGTAAGTTGTGTTGATTCCATCTTGTGTGCATATGAAAATGGATCGCTTAGTAAGCTAATTAGTAATTGATCGTGAAAGCAGACATCCAATATATTATTACTATTCCAATACGTTGGGAACATCATCGTGTGTCAGAAAATCAATGCCGTCGCTTATATAAAGAAAGTCGGCTGCCGTAATCTTGCGAATGCCTCTTTGTTTCTCGACAAAAGTAGCTTGGTGCATCACGCAACTTATGAAGCTGCGTCATCGAGGAAATCGCGCCATCACGGTGTGGTTGTATCCATGGCGTTCAAAACGCCATTCAAGGTGGGCCAGAACCGTTTCCTCTATATCTTTTTTTTTTTTTTTATATTGCTTTCCAAGGCAATGGAACGCGAAGATGGCATATAGTAGTGACTCGCCAGGCTTTAGTGACGAAGTATTTTTTTAAAGAAGCCGTGCGTAATTTTTCGTTTATAACACGCCCTCTGAATGACTTTAGAAATTATATATA